ATATTCAATTTGAAATTCAACTTTGACGTAATGTTTTTTTCAGTGCCCGTTATATTATCGACAATAACGTTGACTGTTTGTTTTTACTTACCAACAATAATGACATCAGTGACCTTTTGAAGGGAATTCTTTCCTGTACTTGGTTTGAAGTTAATCCCATACCCTGCAGTGTCGTCGAAGGTAGTTGTAGGTATAGAAATTCTAGCTATGTTGTGGGAAAGTTTCAGATCAATCCGTTGATACACGAGAGGTAACGACTGCCGGACAATAATCTTCCCAGACCGATCCAATACTAACAGCGTGTTTTTCGCGTTGTTAGTGTTATTAAATACATACAAGCTAATCTTCCATTGATTTCGTTCCGATACTTTTACATTGTATTTCCATTGCAGTTCCAGTTTCTCGCCAACCATCAGCTTCTTACTCTCTGGCGGACATTCTAGCATTTCGATATCCTTTGCGGCATTAAGCAGAAGTGCTCCTATAATAAAGTGTAAATTGATCGCCATACTTAAATGTTTTGATAAGAAATTTGTGCTACGTACGGACTGTTTGCATATATGTAGCTATTGCTATAAGCATACATATGTTATTGCGCCTTTTGCGTATTCGTTGTGTTAATTACCTGAAGAAATAATAAAGTAGAGCCAAACCGCTTTTTGAATTGTATATCCTCCCATTTCACAACGCGGCTTCGAGATACGATATCAACGAATTGTTGTGTGTGAGATAACTGCGGACAAATATTTAAATTCCATCGCCTTGCCGTTTTATGTCAGGAATCCAGAGATCATGAGATAAATATCCACATGATGTCTACAAAGTTATAATATTTCGCTTTTTGGCTTCTAAAGCCATTTCTAGTGTGAATAGTTCACCTTCGCCGATCGTACTTAAACTCCTTTACCTGTTTACGAATTCTGTGAATAGAAACTAGGTGTATAATTTGGCTGCAGTATAAATTTTAAGCGTCAAGTGCAACGCTTTACCAAATAAGTGCAGGTGTAATTGTAATTAAACACGGCATTTAATTGAAAGTTGTGGTATAAGCTTTGTGGGAATTGCAACACACACTGGATTCGTGCTCAGCGATATACGACTCAAATTAATAGTAAACAGGGTGACACAAAAATTGCAAAAGCTGTGATCCAGATGCTAACATGGCTAACTATTGCTATAGGCAGGCATCGAAAAAATGTGACACTAAGATTATAATAATTGATCCACTAAAACGAATTTGATATAGCCGCTTGTGAAATTAACATTATTGGAACGTTACCTTCAGAAACCAATCCTGGCTTCCCTGCAGACACGCGTGTCTGTGGATGTCTGTGGGTCAAGACAAACGTGTTTTTGTCTCGCGATTCTCTCGCGAGACCAGTTCAACCAAATAATTATTAGAGAAACCCACAGGAAAAACTAAAGTAAAGTCTATTTGGAAGTTTAATCTGAATAAATGTTTATCTGAATCTGAATAAAGTTTAATCTATTAAGAAAGCTTTGAGCGCTGTTAAAATAAATTATAGAAACTGGTTTTCGGAAGTCCATATTCATGTTGACGGATTGACTGCGCTCTTCGCATGCAATTTTGGCTTTGAATTTCCGGTTGGAGGTTGCATTCCAGTTATATCTAATTCTTCAATAAAATTAGTGCAAATGATTTAGGGTTTCCGTGGTGCATTGAATGAAGTTGATGTTCAAATATTTGAGGATTTTTCCACTAGCGACCGTATCGTACTGATGCGTGGCGTTTTCTTTAAGTTTGTTTCCTTGGCGCTGTCAGTAACTATTGAATGACTTCGACACGAAATAAATTCAAAATGCTACGATACGATACGAAGCGGTTGAAGGTTTAGAGGTTTACGCTAACTGAGAGACCCAAATTTGTAATGATAAATTCAACGGAGCGGACTGCAATTTGATATGAAATCAAACACATGATTATAAAACACTTTTGTAAACCGGAAAGGTATCCTTTGTTTACAGAAAAAGCACCCCGATACACCCCTAAATGTCGTAGCGTAGAAACAAGCGAACAAGCTAAACGTTTATTTAATCTTGTAAGGTTTACTAAAATAATAAAATTTATGGATCTATGAAGACTAAAAAGACGATCAGTGTAAATTTAAACACAATTTATTATCAACTATATAAAACTGTAGAACAGATTATACGATCTACGATTGCAAATTTCGCTTTATGAAATTGCGTTAGTTGGCTTTTTGACCATTACTTCAAAGAGACTATGCTTCTAATATGCCCGTGAGTGTTTGTGAAAAACTGTTTACCAATTGTGTAATTTAAGCTGTGATATATCTTGTTTTAATACGCAAAGGAATAGCCATGCAATTAATGCAGTGTGCACAATGGCAAGAGTATAAGATTTTGCCGGATCACAGTCTTATGAGTTGCTAGATGAATTGTATGCTGAACTCTTAATTACTGGCTAGTAGCTAGGTCACCACCTCAGTATGATTGGTTGAAAAATTGTGCCACTACAAAACAAATTGTTCAAGATTATATACATCAACTGGAATCGCATGCAATCCCCAGCCTGAGTGCGATTCGTGCTGAAATCGAACTGCTAATTAAAAGTCAATCAGATCAGATTGCAAGAAACCCCGCTGGTTTGAAAATGAAGATAATAATATTCAATTATTGGACGAGCAGTTGAGCCGCAAATATCGTGATTTGTCAGTGATCAGTCAAATAATTGATCTGCGGGCCGCTGAAAAATCGCGATATTTTGCGATAACCGAGTTAAATAATTGTTTTATCATTTACTTATATTGATTTTCAAAATTTTGTGGCCGTCATAAAAAATTGAAAATTTGAATTTTTTTATGTGGCCGTTCAACAAATATGTACAATAAAAATATCTGAAAATTTCATCGTTGTAGATTATAATTTATATACACAACAATATTGATAAACAACTTTTTTAGTATTCACTACACTGCATCTTTTCTGAAGTAAGCTCAGCAAAAAGAGTCATGCATGTTTATTTGAATTGCTTTTAAAAATCATTTAATGCGCATGCGTAAATCGATATTTTGCAATTGAGAATTGATTTCAAGCGCATACTCTGACCATTATTTGCACCACTTAATTGCAGCTGACGTATTATTCTCACCAGTTATTTATAGGGACATTAGCCAGTCAACGTTGGTAAACATGAATAAGTATAAATGATAATTATTAAAGATTAATATGTTTAAGCACTAGATATTACGTTCTCCTTTTCGATGTTCAGTTTTTTGCTGAACAAGCCTAAACTCTTCTGTAGACTAAAGCCCTGCAATTGATCCTTTCGACGCCTTTTACCATCAGAACTAGGTTGTATTAAATCCTATGAAATATGATCATGATTAAGAACTATGAATTTGCAACAATGTGCAACGTAATGCATGACAAGTCACATTCGTGCAAGCGCACGAATGTGAGCACGGTATTTATCCACAACGTTGTATGTGCAGATCGCCATTGGCACCACCCTAACACATTTCACTAAAGCCTTGCTTTGGGATTGCATCCCAATGACTTACCAGTTGTCCGTGAAACGAAGCGTTCTTTAGCAACTGGAACAACATAACGAAATAGGAACCTCACAGAAGGTTGATTTTTTGGTTTTGCTTATATATGATTTTAACATAACCGTTGCAATACTGTCACCATGGTCCCAGCCAGTGCGCTTATGAAAGTCACTACCGCCTGGTGGTGTTCAAAATGCCCGGATGTTTAGGCTGAGAATGTGTCTCATAACACTACTGGCTAGGAACATGACGAAAGCATTTTGATGACAAATTATTGAGAGCCATGGTGTGGCTGCTTGTCTCTATTTTGTGACAATATATATGTTCAGAGCTTTCAGGTGGGCATGCGGCAGGATAGAGTTGGCCGATGCTCTGTAAGACTATGTTTGAAGTAATTGTGAACTGAGCAAAATTTTACAAAATTAATCTAAAACAACGTTGAAGATTTGGAAGATTGCTAGTTATGTATTTATTAAATATAACTAGTTTTGTAGTTGTTGTTATATATATAATTATACTATATAATATTTGCTATGATACAACGAATGCACAGGGAATGCACGAGCAAAATTATTGTTATATAATTAAATTGACCGAGCAGCATAAAACCTAATGCACCTTTTTGATAATTAACTACGTCAGAAATTTATTTATGAGAACGAGGTCCCAGGCCAATTTATAGAAAGGGCATACTGGAATAGCATTGTACTGTTTCTATTAATTATGATATTTTGGAATAAAAAGTGTATCATGAGCTTATAAAGTATGCTGTTCAAAGTATACGCCATTCAATATTCGATACATAATTTATGTTATATTCGAGAAACTCAATTCTACATATAATATTTATTTATTTTATTGCGTCATCTGAAGATCATAAGATTTAAGTGCCAACAAAACAGAAGAGCATGAAAAGAAGAAGAAAATGATATGGCTGTACACAGCTGGAATTTCCTGTACGTCGTGATGGAACTTCAGTCGCGTTTGCTTCTGAAAATATGAAAAAAATTGTGTTTAGTATATGTGGAAAAATATGAACGAAATTGTGGGCATTGAATTCATTCGTTATTGTTAGTTGTTATAAATGTTGGTTATTACATTTATCAAAAAAGATGAATGCGAACAATTTGCATTAGAATTATGCTTAAAAGAGTTAAGCCTGTTACAGATGAGCAAGTTTTCTATGAAAATTTTTTATATCACAAGTTCTATTTGCTCTTCTGCATGCATGTATAAACAACTTTGCCAATTTTCACTAGTCTATGGCAAGTATATACTAGCCCAAAATCTGGTATATATACTAGCTATGAAGAAGACACCTGTCATGGAAAAAAGTGCAAATTTTGTTCATCGCACGAGTCAACAAAAAAACTTTGGCAAAGTAATCTCCACCTATCATGGTGGTCAAAAAGAAAAAAAAATGTATGGTAAATTTGTTGTACCGCACGTACACAAACGCGCAATTGGCAAGTAAAACTTCCCATATGAAAACGTGTCATAGCAGCCTAGACCTAGACCTTCTATTTTTTATTATATTTTTTAATATTCAGCTCTTTTTCACATGAGAAGACTGGGACTAGGTGATTTGGCGCGGGGCGGAGGATAGGCTGATGCGAAAAAGTAGAAGATACCTGCCAAATCCAGCCGAGTAAAGGCATATGTCTAGGCTTGTGCTATAGAAAACGTGCTCGTCGATCTGTAGACGGCTTTATTCACTAATGTAGATAATTCTATAGTTTATAATTAGTTTCTTTTGTTCTATTTCATACGCATGATAGTTGTCAAAGTAACGAATTGGTATGGGAATATAAACAAACGTTAGCCAAATTTGTTTATCAAATGCAAAGCCGGCTCATATGATTTGGTGGCGACCCATTCAAATGCAAGACATTTTTCGGGACACCGGAAAGACTATGAAAAGAAAATAGTGAACAACAGGGGCGTAGGAAGCAT